GGCCCTTCGGAAAAGTTAAACATTTCGAAGAAGAAAGACGAGTATGTTCTTCTTCATTGTTGTTAGTAACCTCAGGCAGAATGTGTTACGTTAGTATTTGGGTGGACGGTATTGTTAATGTCTTTTACAAGAACGCAGGGTCGGGACTGAGTCCTTGTGATGGCTATGATTAAGAGATCCAAAGGAAGCAAACAAATCCACTCCCTCCCCCCCCCCAAAAAAAAGAAAAGAAAAAGGAAAAAGGAAAGAAAGAAATCGCTTTTAGGAATTAACTTTCACTTCCAAGTTTTTTTTTCCTGATGTCTACACTATTGGACACTGGTTCATCACTTTTAGGAATTAACTTTCACTTCCAGTTTTTTTTTTCCCTGATGTCTACACTATTGGACACTGGTTCCAGGTGTGAAAATAAGAATGGGGAGAGAATTAGGAGCTTAAGGGGTCACACAGCCATGTCAGTCAATGGACTATAAAGCTTAGAACGGAATTTCAAGACTGTAGGAAGTTCATAGTAATTATTAGAATGCACGCATCACTTAAAGGCTTATTTTTGGAAGCCTTTGGTTTAGTAATTTGATCACTGATGTACCTAGGGACAAATCTTACTACTAACTGCCTCCCTCACATGTTACAGAGCAGGGCTGTACACTGCCTTCTGCTGCATGAAGCTGGAATGTGTCATGTCATGACCATGCTGCCAGTACTACCAACAATGCTAGCAAATGATGATTGATTGACTTGATTTTCTTTGTAATTCACACCACTTCCATTCTGCCACCAACACAGGCTTTATATGATACTGTCAGTGGACTGTTGCTGAACTTGACCTAACATTTAAAATATTATTTTCTAAAATGTGACTTTTTGATATGTAGCAAAAGAACATGCCAGACAATCAGGAAGTGTTACTACAAAATAAATATTTCCCAGAGAAAACATGTTAGATGGAATACATGTGGTGTTTAGGTAGGGTTTGCATAACTTGCTGTGACTAATTGCAACTAATTGATGAGGTGCCAGGATGCATCTCAAGTGTGTAGCCTAGTGTCTGGCCAGGCACATAACTGGATGTTTAGCCAGTTATGTGCTACAATTAAGTAGGGCAAACACAAGTAAGATTCTGCCTATCAAACTGCAAATAAATATAGTGGTGTGCATGCGTGTGTGTTGGGAATCATATCTGTACTTGATGCCATTTGATGGACTAACACAGATCTTCCTGCAACATGCCATATTTGCAGGAACCTAAAGTACTAAGGTCTTGGTGGGTTGCTGCTGAGCAACCTCTATCCTGCTGCCTCTATCCCCTCAGCAACAAACCTCTTCTTTAGAAACTGTCACATAATTTTAAGTTGCTTCCTGTTGCGTCAATGGTCCAGGTAGTCTATTATGGCCCTGAATTATTTGCATACCTTCCTGCTGGTGCCAAGGCTGCTAATCATGAGTAGAGTCACTGCTGGGCTGCTTTTCATCAATTTGAAAAGGGAAGTGATGGTTTCATCCCTGATCCATTTGCCACTCCTCCCTTTCCTTTACTTCCGCTTCATGTGCAAAAGGCTATTTTGCCATGAAAAATAGGCCTGCTAGGATGCTAAATAAGACTATTTGGAATAGTGGTCTTGCCTACCCAACAAGTTTATATGATTATTGACCTGTTTTCTTTGTAGTTCACATCACACACAACACAGACACACAAACACACACACACATTCTGTTTTGCTTCATGTGCAGAACATTTTTAAAGTTCTTTGTTTCTATAATTTGGCTTGGGGTTTGGATGAACCACACTTTTAGGGACCTCAAGGGAGTTTTTAAATGATAAAGGGTCCTTCTGTGACAAAGCTGATTTCCTTCTGTGTCAGAAAACGTGGTTTTGCAGCAGGTCTGCACCAGTCTGTTCCTGATGCTCTGATGCATGTGGCTGTGGGTGCCTCTTTGAACTCAATGTGAAGGCTACCCCTGGTTTCCCATCAAAACTGAATTGCAGCCAGTGGGAATGGAGGTGCAGGATATTTCCTCCTCCTGCACAGGATTTGACAAATATGCATCCCACAGGATGGGGCTCTGTACTGTGAAGTGTTTCACTTTCCATGTGACATAATCCTGCTCAGGAATCCAGTGACTTGGGGGGAAAGCACTCCCAAAGGTTTTCAGAAGTTCATGAGATTCTCCACAAAATTTGTCTCCCCTGTGACCTCCTTGTTGTGAAATTGTGGAGGGAGAGGGAAAATTTTCTCTCTTTCTCAATCTCTCTCTCCCCACCCTCCTTCTTGGAGAGAAGAGAAGCAGAAAGGTTCATATTCATGTCCTGAAGAATATGTGGGGGATTCTGATGATCCAGTGTTTTGGAAAATTGCCTGCCTCAGCTTGGATCTATATTAGTGTCTTGGGAAATAACTGCACTAGCAATAGATGCGGGGGGGGGAGTGTGTGTTTGCTACGTGCCTTTACAATTCATTTGTTGGGGAAAGAACTTTTTAAATTTTTGGCAGAGCTGGAAGAACTTTCCCAGCATAGGTGCCTCTTCTAAGGAAATTAAGGCTACCAACTTTCAATGATTTGAGGGTTTTTAGTATAACAGCAGCCTTTCTATTTGGAGAACATTTTTTAAAAGATACATCAACACTTTTTTTTTGGTGGACCGTTGTGCTAAAAAAAAGGACAGGAAATCATAGATATGCTCATAAGAAACAAATTTGAAAAGTTTCAAAAGGATAGGTGCAGTAATTTACATGGAGGAGGAGACCTCAAATTTGGGATGATATGGGAAAAATTATATGAAAATAGCATTTATCATCGGCCTGTCTCTGGCAAAGGGCCTTCAAAGTTTCAGAAGGCTAGGTGCAGGGAGTCTAGATGCTTGAAATACAGTTTAAGGATTTTTAAAATGATGCACGATAGGGTGAAATTGAAAATATGTCCATGTCACTGTGACAAAGAGAGAGAAAGATTAAAACAATTAAAGGAAGACACACACACACACACACACACACACATGACTCCCTTCAATTTGAATTGAAATGCTTTCTCAGTATTTCTCTCTCTCCAATGCCTCTTTCCAATCAACAAACTGCAAGGAAGCTGGAATTGTTTTACTGAAGATGACAAACAGGAGGGGGCCAGGAAAAATGTGCCCTAGGATTAGAAGGTGAAGTTGTCACTCAGTCAGCCCTCCTCTATCCTTTACATCTACACAGAAACAATATTAAAATTACACTCTTTCTGCCTTTCTGAATCCCAAACTTCTGATAAGATTTTTACTCAAGGTCCAGTTTTTGTTCTGTTCATTTTGAAGGAAAGCTTGCTTTTTCTCAAAGGAACCCAGTTCAGGCCTTTTAAATAATTGTTTTGCTTCATCTGGCAAAATCTCTTCCGATCTTTAAGGAGAAAAAGAAATGTATGTTGCAATGGGCAACTTGCAGAAAGGCTTTTCTACAAGTGCACACTGTGTATTTTAATGAAGTAGCCCATACATTACCAAGAGGCAAAGTAAGCTTACATCATATTAGAATTATATCAATCAGAGATAATCAGTGGCCAACCTCTAGTTGGACAAAAGATGACCCTAAAAATTAAGAATTCAGAAATATTTGTACCAAACTAGCCTGAAGAGGTCTAGTAAATTCAATCATACATCTCCATTCTTACCTGCATTGACTCCCGATCAGTTTTTGTGCTCAATTGAAGATGCTGGTTATGATCTATTAATGGTTATCAGAGCATCTCTTTCAGAAAATAGCCACCATTTCACGCACTCCTTTCAATCCAGGTTGCTAAAAGTGGCCATACTTTTAGCTAAAAAGGTGACAACAAGGAATCAGGCCTTCTTGGTGGTAGCTCTCAGTCTGTTGGATAAGCTCCCAAATGAGGTACACAATGCTCCTTCCCCCCTGACATTTAGGAAATCAGTGAAGACAGAACTATAAAAAAGCTGCCTTCAGTAACTTGTGTCCAGATACTATGAATATTAATTTCTAATTTTCTTTTCTTTTCTTCTGCTTTCTTTTTTATTTTAATTTTAGATCTAGATCATTGAACAACCAATTGATATATCACTACTGGGTTGCGTGGAGTTCTGAGTTTTTAATCTGTAAACCACCCAGAGTAGTGTGTCCACTAGAGGGACGGAGAGAGGGAGGGGTAAATAGACAAATAAATAAATAAATAAATAAATAAATAATAAATATCTTCTAATTGTTAATTACAAAACAAAACATGTTACATGTATAATACATTGTTGAGAAAAATATGTACTATAACTAAAATACATCTCTTAGCACTTACAGAGGAATTCCTCTTCTAAAAACGTACTACACATATTTGGTAATTAAAATGTACTTAAGTCTTATGGGTTTCAGTGAATATATACTAGGTATGACTAAGCTTGGATCAAGACCACTGTTTTTAGTTTTCTCATTTTGGAGTTGTGGGGGAAGCAATAATAGAGGCTTAGTAGAAGAGACTATGGGCTTGTCTACACAGCTGAGCTGGAATGGGCTATACCTACCAAATATACATATCTGACTTATAATACACCTAGTGCTGTTTTTAAAGTGATGCAGCATGTATTTGCTGCTCCAATACACACTTAATTCCCCTCACCATTTTCTCTGCCCCTCCATGGAGGGCTCTCTTAACAATATTGTCAAATTACAAGAGGCAGGCTCACTTTGGTTCATTTCCAGCAATCACACACATTGGGAACAGACCAAACAGAATGATCGTACCCACACCAGAAAAGTAGAAGCACCAGACAGGAACCAGAAAATGTGGGTAGTACTGCTCTGGGGCTGGGCTGATTTGCTCTAGCAAATACATCATCTGATCACTATCTTTTGGTGTCAAGCAGCCAGCCTGTCCCTGAAGCAGACCAAATAGAGGGCTAAACCCCCATGTGGTCAGTGTCTGTTTCCAGTGTATAATGAGTTCCTTGAAATGCCATGGAAAAACAAACAGCCATGGATCAAATGAAACTTAAATTGTGTTTTGTTTGGTTTCAGGTTATGGCCATAGCTACCCTGTGACAAGGCTTGGAAAATACCTGTGTATGCTATATGCTTTGTTTGGTATACCTCTAATGTTCCTGGTTCTCACTGACATGGGAGACATCCTTGCAGCTATATTGTCTGTATCCTACAATAAAGCCAGATCATTACAGTCAAAATTATTGCACAGGTTTCTTCGTGGTTCCTGTTATAAGAAAAACAGAGAGTCAAAATCAGAATCATCATCTCTTAGGCAAAACAAAATAGTTCTTCATGAACCTTTAAATATTAAAGATGTATTAGGAAGCCATTCTTCCTTCCGAAAAAAGCCTGGGCAGCACCAGAACATTGAAATATTTGAAAGACTTATTGCCAGGGAAAATGAGTTCCTTGCACCTCCAAAACCAACTAGATTTGAACGATGGAGTTCCTGTCCTGAACTGGACACTAGGACAATGATGAACCACATGATCAATGATATTGAGAACATTGGAAAGGAAGTGGAAAAGCTGGATGTGCCTTTTTTGTTAATGACTCTTATAGTCTTTGCATACATCTCTTGTGCTGCTGCAATTCTTCCTCATTGGGAAAAGGATTTAAATTTTGAAGGTGCTTTTTATTTTTGCTTCATCACCCTAACAACCATTGGCTTTGGTGATGTCCAGCTGAAACACCCAAATTTTTTCTTGTTTCTCTCCTTTTATATTGTGGTGGGCATGGAAATAGTCATCATTGCTTTCAAGCTGGGACAAGATAGGCTCCTTTGTTTGTACAAAAAAATTATTTTCTGCGTTGGTCAGAAAAATGCTCAACACAAAATTGTATGAAGAATGCCCATCTAACCAAAAGAGAGGAGAATAACACAGGTTCTGAAATTGTACGCATGGGCAGCTTCTTTAAGTTGAAATGGCTGTTTTGTGTTGTTGTTTTTCAGTAGAAAGTTACAATGACATGGATTTCTTTGTTGTCAGCAGGAATCTGTACAAACTGGTAGTCTAATGTGCACCAAGTCAGATATCAATGGTTTGCAAAAGCTTCTTCCTCTTTAAGGAATCAAACTGAGAGACTATGAGCACAATCTCATATATATCTACCCAGAAGTAAGCTTCATAGACTTATGAGGCTTATTCCAAGATAAATGGGACTAAATTCGAACCTGAGACAGTAATACCATCTACTTTTCTGTAAGAATAAGCCTGCTAAACTCTGACTTCCTTGACTAAACTCTGACTCACTCCAAACTTACCTCACTAATATGGCAATTCTTTTTTCATCCCTTTTGTGGTTGGTACAGAAACACCAATCATTTGATTCTCTTCTAAGTGGCAATGAGAAGTATTTGTCAAATAACTACATGACAGCAGGTACATGTTTATTTAAACCTTATAAAAACACATATAGAGTTTAAATAAATATATACCTGTGTACCCGCTACAATGTGATTATTTTGGCTAATTCTTGTCTTGTGTACACACACATGCACATGTGCACACACACACACACACACACACACACACACACACACACACACACACACACACACGAACATCAGTTGTTTCTAAGGGAATTGCATATTGAAAATATCATACCAATAGAACTACATGATTTTTTTTTCCAAACAAACAAACAAAAACCCAGGGCATTAAAGAAACAATTGACAAGATTTTTAAATGATTAGAATTTTTTGGCAATCTACAATGGTATAGTGGGTAGAATCTTGGCCTAAACTGTGAATGACTTCATTTCTAATCACTGCTTGGCCATGGGAACTCACTGGGAGTAGCAATGCTCAACCACTCCCTGAACAACTCACATTCATTGAAACCCTACGTTGGTTATTAGAAACAACTTGATGGCACATAAGAACTAACAGCAAAGGCTTCTTTAAAAGTCTGAGAGAAAAATAGGGGTTGAATGCCGGTCTAAAAGACACTGTGAACAGCAAGCAAATCTGTCTAGGAAGGGCATTTCATAGCAACAACAGCAGAGGGGTAAAAGCAGGTCCTTTCTCTAGTTAGCACTTGCTTCAGTTTTAACAAAGATCAGAAAAGATGAAAACAACTGGTTTCAAGTTTTCCTGATCAGATGGATCTTTAGCTCTATGGAAACTAGCAAGCAGGGAGAGAATGGTCAAGAAAGTTCATAGCATTTCCTCCATTCATTCATTCATTCATTCATTATTCATTCATTCATTCATTTGAATGCCACCTTGTATGCCAACAAGGCCCCTTACAAATTATGAAAAACAACAAATAAAATAATGATAAATGATTATGTTAAACACAATTACACATATCACAGCACAAACAATGACAACTATTTAAAACCACCAAATAGCACATTAAAATACACATAT